TTGGCAACACTGGCACGCCTCCAAAGTCTGCGTGATCCCACGGGCTTCTTTTACACCAGAGGAATGAGGTTCGGTTGCTACCCCAATCTTTGTGTCTTTTTCTCAATCGAAAATTGACCCGAACCACAAGAAAGCATGTTGAACCATCACCTTAAATTGGATGCCTCACTCATCATAAAAGTTAACCGTTTTACGCCCGAGGCTATTGACACTGGCCTACATAACTCATAGATCTGAATAATATGTTCCAGGTTGCTCACAACCCAACTGGATGTTCAGAAAGGCCTCACTTACAAAGTGAGTTTGTGGTTTCTCTTTGTTTCTTTTGTTTTTCATTCTCCAAAGTAAGCTGAAAGCTGAGCTTTGGATCAGCAATGCACCACCAGCTTTGAAGCAACCAGGCCAAAAGGCAGGGGAGAGAAGGAGGCAGAGGTGTGTGGGGAATGTGAAGCTGAATTGTGGTAAACCAGGGAAAGGTGCTCTGAGTAGGCAGAGCTCGAGGACCACGGACAGCCGGGCTCTCCAGCCCAGTGGTGAGCGGGGAGGGGTGTGTAGGCAGCAGCTGAACCGGCTCTGAGAGCACATCCCATTGTGGGCTCACCCCCTGCGTCCCCCATTCACACACACACGCGCGCGCGCACACACTTGCACACTGTTAAAACCATAAAACAACCCTTGTTTGGGGTGACAGGGAAGGGGGCCGGAGAGTAGAATTATTGTCCATGCACTGTCAAGTCTCCCAGGGCCACTCTTCCCCTCTGAAGGAGCAGCGAGCTCAGGACCCACCTGTGCACATGTGCAGGAGGGATGGTCACTGTCTCCGTCCTTATCCCCGGGCCACCGAGTCAGGTGCTATTTCATGACTTCAGGGAATAGCTGAAAAGCCACCAGGGGTAGGATCAGATGAGACCAGAGAAAAGGGCTTGTGGGTTCTGGTGTCTGTCTGTGTTCAGGTCCCAGCTCCATCACTTCCGCTGTAAGGCAGAGCAGCAGACCTCGCTAGGACATTCCTGAAGTGGGTGCAATTATGCTATCTTAAATTTCAATTGTAGGGATTAAATGGGATAATAAATTTAAAGTGGTAGGCCAGTAACATTCATTCATCTTCACTGTTGTCAGTATTACTATGAAGAAAAAAGTGCAGGGCTCTCTGTTGAGAAAGCAGCAGTGGTTAGGGGCCCTCGCTGCATGTCCCTGTCATGTTTTTTGACTAAAGCCCACTTTTCTCATTGCCTGGACCATTTCAATTACAATTTCACTTTGTGAGCACAGGATACACTTACCTAACACTGCTTTACTCATCAATTAATTAAGTCCTTCTCCCAGTAGGATTGTGATGTCTTCCTGGACAAAGGTTATGAGTTTTGCCTCTGCTGGACCACTTCCTCCCTGCACAGCTCCACCCCTCCTACAGTATCCCTTTTTCCCTGCCCCACACAGACCTGGACATCTAACAGTTTCCATACTTATGCTGTCTTGGTCTATTTTTCTGTCTGTTTCCCCAGTGAACTGCCATCTCTTTAAGAGTAAAG